CTTTAATTTGGTTGGTATAATGAGTCATGATTGATAGAAACAAATACAATGATGTGATAGGTATGATGAATATGTAGGAAAAAAAGCGGATAAAAATTAGTGTGGCATCAGGAAAAACTGACAAAATATATTTTGCTCCTTTATTAGCTTTTAATTTAATTGGTGTCTTAACTTTAGTTCGTGACGTATAAGCTCTACAAAATCTCATTATTCCAGCACATTTTCAGTCTCTTTCTCATGATTTTGAGGGCTAATTACGCATAATTCACATTTATATTTTAGAATTTGCGCTGTTTATATGATATATTGAACTCAAGTGAATTCTTGAGTAAAGTCTGAAGAGATTAATTATTTTAGTATATTTGGGAATTTACAAGTTTTGTGGTGCGGATGAAGGTTGGAAATGGAAGATAGATGCATAAAAGGATTCCTTATTTCAAGTCTTGAAGGTTAAAATTAAAGACATAGCATGGAAGCATTGGAGGGAAAATGGAGTCAACAAGTGGAGGAACCCTAGAAAGCATCAAATAGCCACTGCAATTGGTCTCAAAAGCCATGGCGATTGATACTGTCCAGAAGCAATATCCTCTGCACTACTATGCATTTTACTAACTTGACCGAAAAATGAGGGTATGTAAGAGAGGGTTGTGCGATTTTCTGGCATTCTTCACACTTCCAAACTTTCTGGGAGAGCTTTCTGTTAGGGCTTCAAAGGATTGGAGGATTTGAAGTTTGGGGTCAAGAGTTTTGAAGCATTTTGGAGCTCTTTCCTTGGGTTTCTTCTATTTTCCTTTTTCTTCTTTACATTCATACTATTATGGATTTGATTTCTGTAGAAAGTTATAGTTCTTTTCAAATCATGAGTGGATAGTAAACTTGTTCTAGGATTGTTTTGAACCTTTGTATGTATTGAAGCTTGTTCTTTTATTTCTTTTGAGTATTATAATGATATATGTGTTGGTTTTATTCTGTGCTTACTGCTTCACTTTGACTGGTCACCATTTTGAAAGATTTGTTAATCTTGATTAGTCTTGAGAGGGCTAGTTTTGATTTAAAACTTGATTACACTACTAAAAAAACAAGGTATTAGTGACGGAATTTGGCGACAGAATTTCATTTCGTCGCTAATTCATTGCTAATCCCTCACAAATTTCGTCACTAAAATTAGAAACGGAATTTAGTGACGGAAAATTTCTATCACCAAATTAGTGACGAAATAAAATTCCATCACTAACAGAGACAATTAGTGACGGAATCTTATTCCGTCACTAAATTCTATCACAAGTCCGTCGTTAATTTTGTTTTAAATGATTAGTGACGGAAAAATTCCGTAACTAATTTCCGTCACCAACTCTCATTTTGTGATGGAAATTAGTGACGGAATTTTTTCGTCACTAATTTCTGCCGCAATTCCATCACTAATCCGTCACAAAAAAATATAATATAAATATATAATAATTATTTTTTAAACTTATTATTAAAATAAAAATAAATATATCATAATTTTTAAATAATATATTATATAAAAATTAAAAATACAAATATTATAAAATAAAAATATATAATATATAATATACTTATTATTTTATTAAATATTTGAATAAAAATACAAATTAGTAGAAATTTTTTACTTAAATATAAAAACTAAATTCAAATAAATAATAATATATTAAATTATGTATATAATATTTATTATATATGTTTGTATTTGTTATTAGAAATATTATATATATTTATTTTTGTAAAAGAATTTCGTAGGTACTTCTCAGTTCAACTGGCAAAAGCTTCAGCATGCGTGCAAGAAGTCTTAGGTTCAAACTAACACTTCTTCACAAATTAGCTCAATTTGTGACATGGCGATGATGTGGGCAAGGCGATGATGTGGCGGCTCATAATGATGGACACGTGGCAATGACGTGGACGCTATGATAACATGGCTGCATGGGAGAGAGGAGGAGTTGAGGTGGCATCCAATGATGGACATGTGGCGATGACGTGGGTGACAAGATGATGTGGCAACATGGGAGAGAGAGGAGTTTGTGAGGTGGCAGCCATTGATGATGTAGTGGCTCATAGTGATGGACACGTGGCGATGATGTGGTATTTTAAATTTATAAAATAAAAGAATTTAGTGACGGATTAGTGACGAAAATTTTCGTCGCCAATTTGTGACGGAATTTTTCGTCACAAATCCATCATTATTTTATGACAGAATTTTTGTGGGATATCCGTCACTAATTAGTGATGGATTAGTGACGAAAAGTTTTCGTCACTAATCCGTCAGTAATTCGTCACTAATTAGCGATGGAATTTTGAATTCCGTTACTAGTTATTTAGTGATGGTGGAATTAGTGACGGAAAAAATTCCATTGCTAACTGAATTCTGTCACCAATCTGTCGCTAATACTTCACTAATTTTAATTAGTGACGGAAATTCCGTCACTAAATTCCGTCACTAATTTGATGTTTTTTTTGTAGTGTTAAAATCATGTTTGACTTGAAATTCTTAAGTGAATGAATGGTTTGTTGGATTCGTTAGAGATAATCTACCAACCTAACACTGTCAAAGCAAGATTGATTTACCAAGGTGATTTTCATTAAGCGTTTCAAGAGATTGAGTATTTTAAATAGAAAGATAAAATTGGTGAAAAGTGTTTCCAAATACTTTAGGTTCTTGGACAAGTAAATTTTATCATTGAAAAACCTTTTTGAGTGAAAAGAATAGTTTCAAGAAGTGCAAAGGGGATAAACAATCCTAGGTCTTCAAAATATTGAAGTTGAAGATATATTTTTGAGTTTAATTTTATAGCAACTTAATTTGGTTTAAGAACTTATCAATTCAATAATTTTTTTTCCTTAGCTCAACCTAATTTTTTAGGAAAAATGACAGAAAAATACCTGTTAAATTTTACAAAGACAAATAGGCCATGCTGACTGCTTTTGTAACGGTTCTAACTACTCATGCATTGGTTTTGATAAGTCAAAATATGTCAAAATCACCTATTTGTCATTTTAAATTTCAATAGGCATTTCTCTGTCATTCTCCCAATTTTTTATCATGTTTGCGGTAATTGGTTCATTTTCACTTCAGTCCTTGAGGGAACGACACTTTCTGAACCTATAATACTTGTTAACAATTCGTGCGCTTGCGGTCAGGCCGAATGGTGAGCAGTGGCTTTTTAGTCTCTAATTTCATTATCGTGAACGCAACTGATAAAAAATACTGAAAAAACAATTTTCTATGGGCACAAAGCATTCTAAAATGTCATTTTGATCAAATCATTTTATTTCTTAGAAAAAAAACCCACCTGTATTTTATTCTTTAATTTTTTTTTCAACCATATGAAGAAAATAAATTAAAAAGAGATTAGGTGCACACAGTTGTCAGATTTCCTATATACCAAAGGTGTAATGTTAAAGTAATGCGTTAATTTAAGTCCCATTTGGAATCACGTTTAAAATAACTTGTAAGCATATTTTACATAAATTGAGATAAATTTTTTTTTTACATACTTAACTCGTATTTCATAAATCATGATTAAAAAGTTACTTATAAGTCATTGCAAATGGACCAGTAATAAAGTCTAGTAGGCCAGCCAATCAACGCACTTATTCATTCGTTTTTCTAACGTAAAAGCATGCTGTAAAGCAATAATTTAGTCCCTTCTCATGATAAAGTCTTTAGCATTCTTTTGAGATTTTAGAATGCTTTATTAGCCGTTGAAGCTTGTTTTGCAACATTTTTTGTTAATTGGACTAATGGTGTCAGAGTTAAGAATTAAAAAAATTCTTGAATAAAATCAAGGCACCATGTTAAAACCTAATTGAAAATTAAAGAATCAAAAGTATACTAGTTTAAAATCATTGAATAAAGCTAAGGGACTACTCCTCTGATCTTATTTATAAGTCATCTCTAACATATTTCACATGACGTGTAGACCAAGAAAAATCCTCAACTTTATGAATTTTCATTTTAAATCTAATAAAATTTTAACTTTATCCTTATTTAATATACATTATACCATGTGATAACAAAGTTAACATAATAATAAATAAAGAGTAAAATTAAACATTTATATAAAAAAATTTCTCTGCCCCATAAATAGGACTAAAAAGTATGTCCTACATAAATTTATGAATTAAAAAATAAAATAATCCATAAAATCTTTAAAAGATAAAGCCATGAATCCATTTTACAGTTATCTAGCTTTCATGAATCCATCTTTCTTAGTTTCAAGTTGCATAGCTGATAGGAGGAGAGAGTCGAATTCAGGTTGAACGAATAAATGCCCACCCAAGTAGCCAAGTGTTTCAACAGTGTGACAATAGTGGTTCAAATAAGGTTGTCAATTTAACTCATCCAAGTAGCCCACATATGATGGGTTGGCCTAATAAATAATAATTAATAACCTGTCTGTTACATTAACTTTGATAGCTCCACAAGAGACTGGCACGTGCTCCTCTATAACATAGAATCTAATTAGGAAGCTAATACTGATTCTATATATAAGATTTATTTTACAAGTTTATCAATTTTTTTAAAATTAACCCTATTAATAGTCTCCCAACAATAATCAAGTAAGAGAAGGAGGGAGGGAGGGAATGAATTAAAAAAATATCATATTAACTAATTTGACTGGCATTATTAATCTACTCAAATTAATTAATTAGGTCTTACATTAAAAATTGGATGAGTGTATATATATATATATATATATGTATGTATGTAAGTATGTATAACTCCAAGAAGATCAACCAAACCTCATCAAACTTGCAATTCCATTCAACCCATTCTTTTCTTATATATATATATATATATATATATATATATATATATATATGCGTGCCCTAACAGCACACCAAGCTTTCAAATTTTTTGTATTTAAAGGTCCTCAATCTGTGTCCCAGGAAACTCAACCAAACCTCATCAACCTTCTTGCAATTCCCTTGAACCCATTTCTTTTCTTTTGTTGTCTTCGAAACCTTTCATTGACTGAGAAATGGCAGAAGCTAAGGTTGAGATTGTATCTAGAGTCAACATAAAGCCATTATGTCCAACTCCAAATCACCTAAAGCACTTCAAATTTTCTCTCCTTGATGAGCTAGCTCCTCCTCCTTCTGTTTATGTTCCCATTGTTCTCTTCTATGCTGCTTCTGATCATGATTTTCCCAAAATATCCCAAAAGTTGAAGACTTCATTATCTAAAGTTTTCACTCTCTACTATCCATTTTGTGGAAGAATCAAAGGAAACAAAGGCAATCTCTATGTTGATTGTAATGATGAGGGTGTCCATTATCTTGAAGCCAGAGTGCTCTCAAAGCTCTCAGATTTTCTCGAGAATAATACAAACCAACAACTCAATGAGATTAAAGGGTTTCTTCCATTAGATCCCTACAAACCTAAGCTAGATGATGATGATGAAGATCGTCTAATAATGGCTGTTCAGGTTACTGAGTTTGGCTGTGGAGGCATAGCAATTGGTGTGTGCATCTCACACAAGGTTTGTGATGGAAAAACAGTAGCTTCATTCCTTCAAGCTTGGTCTCAAAAGGCAAATATGGGAGATGGAGGTGATGTAGTGGCTTCTTCTTCATCTTTCAATATGAAAGCTTCTTTGCTTTTTCCACCCAAAGGCCTAGAGATTGATGTCAATGACAAGATAGGTGAGAAGAATACCACAACGAAGAGATTCTTGTTTAGCGAAAATAGTTTGTGTACACTAAAAGAAGAAGTTTCAAGAGGTTGTGGCTTTAAGCCTACCAGAGTTGAAGCCGTGACAGCTTTAATATGGAAATCAGCCTTGGAAGCTGCAATAACCACAGAGACAAGTCAGAAAAGTAATAGTTCATTCATGTTACATGCTGTGAACATTCGAAGTCGAATGTTACCACCGTTGCCAGAGGATTCTATGGGTAATCTCTTTGTATCTGCCACTTCTCCGTTGGTAGAAGTTGACAAAGAAATGAAGGTAGAACTACAAGACTTGGTTGAAGTAGTGAGAAAAACCATAAAAATGGTTGATGGGGATTATGTCCGCAAGCTTCAAGGAGGAGAAGGTCAAGAACTTGAAATCCTTGAATCAATGTTACAAAAGTTGTATTTGGTGTATGAGAAAGGTGTTCCTTATTACATCTTCACTAGCTGGTTGAGGCTTGGTTTCTATAAAACAAACTTTGGATGGGGCAACCCAACGTGGGTTTGTACTATTGGAGTGCCAGTAAGAAATGTGGTTATTTTGATGCCAGCTCGTTCTGGGGATGGAGGAATAGAGGCTTGGGTCACCTTGAATGAGTTTCACATGTCCCAATTTGAAACCAGTCCTCTACTTCTTCAATTTGCTTCTTTTGACCCTTAACTACTTCCTGTTCATCTGAAAGTATATATATGTATTTGAATATTGTTTGCTGGATTTCATATTGAGTTGTTGGTTAAATATGTATTGGATTGATAAGACGTGATCAAGTAATTTTATATATATATATATATATATTGAAGTTTAAGTGTTATCCACTATATATATGTTGGAAGATCCTTCAAAAGTTTTATCTATCCCAATGCCCAAAGGTCTCCGCCAACATTTATAAGCGTTATCAACTTTTTTTGTTTGCGATCAAGGGTTACCTATCAATCTTTAGGTTATAGTGTTTGTTGTTTCTTCATTGATTGACAATCATCGTCCATGTTTGGTTAAGCAATGGAAGTTTAAATAAGCCTGTTTGAAATCAAATAAGTGATTACGAAGCCTGTTTATTTTGTTTAGGTAATTTTTATAAAATTCTGATGAATTGTGATTTCACTCTTTCACTGTACTTTTAGGATAAGCATCAGAGATGCGTTTGAATAATCCTAATGAATTTTTATCAACTAAATTTTTTTAATCTATCCTCCTACACTCTTAGAAAAATTTCTCCCCCAAATATTATTTGCATATATTTTGCCTATAATTTTTCAACTAAAACCACATGAAATTTATTATTTTTTTCTATTTAAATTTTATTTCCTGTAATTTTGATTCAACATTCAATTTTCTTACTTTGTTTATGGTATTAAATTGCTAATAAAATTTTATTTATTTTCATTCAACACCTATTTAATATATGTTGTATTTTATTTAATATTTGTACCAAAATAAATTTTTAAGTTATTTCAAATAATAATAACAATAATGAAAAATAAAAATAATATTAAACATTCATGTCATTTACTAAATTATATTATATAACATTTGTTATTAAATATAATAATTATGAAAATGTAAACATCTTTATGAAATTTATACCCTTTTTGGTAATTATACATTCATAAGTGATTTTAATAAGTGAAAACCAAATATAATCACAATTATTGAAGTCACTTATAAAAAAAAATATAAATAAAAATCAGAATCAACCAACATCACTCATAACTACTGTTATTATAAAACGGTCACGTTAGCTAGCGTCACGGCACTTAAACCGGTGGTGCCTACCATCCGCTCCAACCACTTATGAGGCCAACTATACAGCAATTTAAGAGATTTAACAAACATTTCTTGGGGCTATTATCTGTCTGAGATTTTTAGGACAATCATGTTTTATCTTTGTCTCAATTAATTATTGATTAGACTCACTGTATTAATTAATTATTTGCTCATTGCCTCTTCATAAATAATGATTTTTTTAAAAAAAAAACTGCATTTTGATATATTTATTACATTTAATCAATCTTAATTAATTTATATATATAATTTGGTTATCTATATCTTATAAGAAGGGTCGGTGGGAGTAACTTGGAGAAACATTTACTTCAAACGGTTTGGAGACAACAAATTAAAAATGGAAATAAAAATGAACTTACTGATATGGTTTTTAAAGATATGTTTAAAGAAATAAAACGGAGTGTTTTGAGGAAAAGGAGGACAATGGATGAGAAGCTCACTGGAGAGAAGCCAAATCCTTATTTGCTTAAATCCACCTATCTAGTCTAGCATTCTCTCTAATTCTTATTATAAGTTTCAAATAATTAATTCATAAATAATAAATAATTAGTTAAAACTAGACTTTTGTTTTTAAATATGCCCTTTATAATGAATGAGAAAAAGGATGAAAGAGAACATGTGAGAAAATGTGATAAAGGAAAAATAATTAAGGGTAATACTAAAAAAAATGCATTAAATATTATGACAAATTAAAACTTATAAAATAAACCATACTCTTTTTCAAATTTATAATTTATACATAGAATGGAAAAGAATATTTTATCGGACTGCACTTATTTAAAATAGAATAATTGTGAAAAGGAGCTAAAAGTCAGGTTACTTAAAAACACTGAAATTTCAAAGATGCATTATTAAATGGGAGAATTACAACCGATCAATCATCGATAATCAGTCAATCATCAATCATTTACAAAATTCTGTAAACATTGTAGCCGCACAGTGATTGGGCCACGTGGCTTCCTGACTTGGTCTTCCATCTGGCATCCTGCTGGTTCTACTTTGTTGACAACATGACCTTGGTTTTTATCTATTTTGGTTTGGTTTGCCAGGCACACTCCACGTATATATCGGCCTTCCTTAATGTGGATCTCAATGGCCCCGCTTGCGTTGGCATTCGCGTTCGAGGTCTCAGCTGACATTAATATCCAGTGGGGAGAAATTTTTATATATTTATTTTATTTTGTATAACATAAAATTACTTTTAAAATCTAAATGACCCTAGATAATCCCTCTGTATCTTATTATAAGTAACTTTCAACTTCATCACGTAGATTAAAAAGTTAGCTAAAGACACTAAATAAGTAGAAATTGAAATTCTGTTCTCCTGGGGGAAGAATATAAAAAAGAAATAAGAAAATTATTATAATAAAAATAAATATGAAAGAGAGAATATTGGTGAAGAGAGATAATAGTTTGAGAAATGAAATAAAAATTTATTGGATATTAAAATAAGCAATTAATAGGGACAAAATAGAAAATTTACTGTAAAAATTTAAGACAACTTACAAATGTTACTTATATTTAAGGATAAAAAAGAAATAGTAGTTGTTGTTTATAAAAAGTGACAGAAGGAATACACTAATCTGGTCCATGTTCATGGCGGAAGAATTAAATTGCTGAATTTCAAACTCATGGAGTTAAATAGGTACTACCTCCATCCCTTATTATAAGATCTAATTTTTTGAATGAATTTGTCCTTTTCTATAAGATTCTCTTTGAGTTGGTCTGAGTATTCAATATATTGTTACTTATTTTACCTCTAATTTAATGCATTTAATACATTCTCTTTCTTCATTTATCTCACTATTATTTTTTTTATATTCACCCATTTATATATAGAGATATCTTTGGAAAAAAAATACATTTGCTACGTATTAATTGCTTTTAACTAATTTTAACTGTTTTTTTAAACTACGCAATTTAGTTAAAAAGATTTTATAATAAAAAATGGAGGGAGTAATGTTTTTTTGGATCTCTGTATTTCGAATTAGATGCCTCCTAAGTGTTGCTTCGAATCCAATGCCACCAACGATTGCCCATCCATTTCTTTTCCTCTTAGGTTCATATTCCAAATCTCAGAATCTCGCCTTCTCGCCTTCTCGCCAGTCTCTCCTCCTTATTCCTCTCACCCACCCTCATCAACTTCCTTGATGATCTACTGGTCTTCCTAAATACAGGTATGATGCCTGTTTTGTTGACTATTTTTTCAACGAGGAAATTTCAGTGGTTTCTGTGTCAAACAGTTCAATTTTACTCCATAAAAAGGCTGGCACTAGCTTAAATGGCATAGTCCATAGAGGAAATTGTGTTTCTAATCTTTCAACTATACCTACGTAACATGAAAACATTAGTAAATTATCTTAGGCTAATATTCTACCAACAGTGAATAATGGATATACTTTGTTCCACAGCTATTTCACAGCCCAGAACAAGTACAGAACACCCCACATTAATTGTTCACCACAATCTTCGCGCGCTGTGTCAAAGTGGGAATTGTTTAATGAGTTGCACCTCCAAAATGATTCATTCCTTTTCATTCATTCCACCTTAATATTGTGTTCTCTTTATGTATCGAAACAAATATTAAAAAGGGAATAAACTGCCAAGTGAGGATGAATATAATTTCATAAAGAAAAGAATTTTGAATTTGATAAAACCTTTCAACTGAACTCGTGTTTTTAAATCAATACAGAACAACTGGAAAAATAATAGCCAGTTTGTCCTCACTCTTTTTCAGTAATCTTTCTCAATTAATTTTTCATACAATCACCAATGGTTGATATATTTCAGTTATTTTTTTCCATGATTAAGGGATTTTTATTCGGGACAACAACTTATTCCTTTGGATAGCATTATGGTGTTGTTGTTCATTATCATTTTTGTTTTTTTGTTTTTAACTTAAATAGTGTACTTTAGTTACACAACAACAAAATTGGAAACCATCATTAGTAATTTTTTAACTTAATTGGCACAGCTATTTGTTTTGCCAAAAATTAATTACTCAACATATTTGAAAACCATAATCAGTTATTCTCCCTTTCTTCACTATAGCTTACTTTAGTTAATTGATAAATTAATTGATTGATTGGTGTGGTAAATTAACAATTATTGTCGTCCTGTTTTTGGAATTCAGATTATTAAAATTTAAATTTCTTATTATTGTATTTAGAATCCCTGACCAGTTGGCTTTATCATTTAACTTCCTCACAAAATTTAGGTTTTAATTTCCAGAGAATCCCCTTAAAAAAAAATACTTAAATAATCCAAACTTTTATTTGAATTATTAAATTTGTCAAACTCCTACGTAGGTCACATGATCTAAAGAAGAATTTTAAAATTTTATAAAATAACTCTAATACCCTTACAAAAGGAGAAGAATTCTAAATTAACATGTTTTATTTCACAATTAACAAATTTCTGTCTTCATAACACACACACTTTGGTAAGTCTTTGAATAAAACTTCAACATAGTACAACCTTGAAAATTAATAAGTTCAGTTATGTGGTTAACAAGATTCAATTCTAAATTCACAATAAAACATCTCAAATTATTTTCAAGAATAAGAAAAATCATTGTTAAATTTCATAGTACTTAGGTAGAAATTTAAACCTTAAAATTTTGATACAAAATCTCAATTTCGAAGTCTGTAGTTTCAGTTTTTTCTTCTGTTTTGTTTTGCCCTCCTGTAGTTTTAGCTTTTCTTAATACAGATTAGTGAGGTTAAGTAACTAATTAATTATTAATAATGAAGGATTAGGATGCCATCTTATCTGCTTTAGAAACTGCTACTAATATATTTAATTGGCCGTGGGAATGTGGTTGTCCTTTTCATTACTTTAGAACACTTATTAATCATATACCTACGATGTCACGCTCA